AAATAATAGTGATATGCTCATATTAAGGAATCTTATTTGACATGCTTCGATTTTTTCCAGTCCTGGGTCAATCATCACGGATACACAACTAGTTTTTAACTCCACACAAGCTGTTCCAACCGTTCAAGAGATTGCGAATGCTCTCTTGACAGCAGTGGAAACAGGAGGTGTCGATCCACTGAAAATAATCCCTACAACAGTTTCAGTCAATGGTTCAGGTAAGTTTGATTGCATTTCAAGTCATATCTTGCAACATGTTCTGAAAGTCTTACAACAGCTGCTCATAGCACTTTTGCTCAGTAGATATTGTGGAATTTCTAACCTTCTATAGCACTAGTCACTAGTTGATTATATGTATATAAGAATAACACACAAAATATACAGTACATTTGGACTGAATGAAACAAATGAAACAAAAAAGAGGCCCTAAGATATTTTGATTTAAATTGTTCATCTTTTTCTCTCAGTTATAGCTACGACTGTTGCTGCAACTACAACTACAACTAAAACTGCAGCTGCAACTACAGCTTCAAGTGGACTGAAGATTGAATCCAGCCTGCTCCAAGCAACATGGCTTATTATTATGGCAAAAATATTACAGCTTTTCCTATAGATCCCTTAACAAAGAATGCAAGTTGCGAGAAATGCAAGGCATGTGCAAGGCACGAATTATACTTGCAAATTATAATATTTTTGTATGTGTATTATGTGTTATTTAGTATTGTAGCACACTCTCAAAATAATGGCAATGGCAATATAAACACAAAGAATACAAAAAAAAAAATGTATATATCAATCAGCAGGTTGTAGAAATCAATCAAAAAAGGAAAATTTCATCAGTATTTTAAATGTAATGCTTTTGTTCACCTGTCTGCAGGTTAAAGACTATTTATACTTTAGTTCTCTTTTTTCTAGTATGTGTTAACATTGCAAGATCATATTATATCGTATTATATTCAAATAAACATATTTATTAAGTTCATATGCTCCAATATTGTATGATTGTTTGAAGTATTTACATTTATTTCAAAATGTACAAGGGTTTTATATTAATTTAATTAAATGAAGTCTTAATGCAACTTTAACCTTCACAATTCTTCCATTGCAAACTCTTTATAGCTCATTTGTCAAAACTGGCAATTTAAAAAATAATCATAGATGCAGGATAGTATGATTAATGAGGCCTATTAGATAGTATGCATTAATGAGGCCTATTTTGTTTTTTTTTCTTTATAGCAACATGACAAGTAATGAAGACACATTTGGTATCAATGAGTTTTACTAAACAAAGCTTTTTTTTTTTTTTTACTGAAATGGAAATACTGCAGCTGATGGCACATCTGACAGCTAGGTGGCCTACATATTATTGCATACCTTACTTTACATAATAATAGCTACTGTATTAATCCACCTTACTAGTGTAGAGCACCTCTTGAGAACAGGAGAGTGAGGTTTACCTGCACTCCAGCTGGCCTCCGTTACACTAGCAGTTACTGTATATAGATTTATGTTTTTGAAAAAAATATCCATATATATCCAGAATGGGTTATGGCTATGGAAAACAATGAAAGTGTCTTTAAACAAAAACAGCTGTAATAACCACTTAACAAACTGCTCTGCAAACAGTGTATTTGCTGAGGTTTTCATCATCTACTTCAGGTAAGTACCGCTTACAAACAATGCAAAGCATTAAAACATTTTTGTTGTGCCAGTCACAAAACAAGTGTGTTGTACACTCACAAAATTAACTACTGCAATCTAATGTCATAATAATTTGTCAGATGTCCCTAAAAAACTGTACAATGCCTTATGTATACTGCAAATGGTATTTTAAAGTCAGCTTTTTTGCTGAAAGTGTATGACTTTTTTTCATGTACTGTATGATTACAGATTGACAAATTACATGCAGTGGGGAAATATTTCCTTCTCGTGCCATGAAAAAGGAACATCTCTGGACCTTTGTCAGGTGATATAATTACAGCACATGACCTATTTTCTCTATCCAATTGCCTGTGTCCGTTCTGGTGTGCAAGGGATGTTTGTAAGAAAGTTTTAATGACCAAAAGTACATTAAAGCACAGTCCTCCTTATCGTTCATTGTCTTTTGTTTTGTGGAATCATCTTACTTTGTGTGTCTGAAACAGACATACAGCCAGATTTAATTACAGTGAAAACTATTTGATGGGATTGTTTGCACCCGTAGCAGTATGATGCACCATTTTTGCCTTAAACACAGAAGTCAGTTACATTAGAAGCTTTTTCATTCTAGATTTCATGTCTATATGCATGGTTATTATACTGAATAGATGTCTGGGTGACGTTTGTGTACAGTACTATCAAGCGTAGCCTAACCATCAAATACTGTGTTTTTGTGACAGCTTACAGAATCAAATAGTTTGTTTCTTTTAATATAACCTAACTACTGTAAGTGCTATCGTACTGTGACTTGACCTTATCTTTCGCAGCACTGATTTGTTTGCGGTGAACCACTGACCTGACCAGTCTTGCTTGCTTGTTTGCATTACAGACTTAACTCGAAACTTAATTTGTGACATACTTGTGATCTGATTTACAATTCAATCCCAGCTATGGTAAAACTTTGCAAAAATGGGTCATTAAAAGTAAAGATGCAACAAAAGACTGAGTGTTACCCTTTATAGTTGTTGTCAGTAGGTTTATGTTTATCAAAAGAGAGCATAGCTTTGCATCGGTCCTATTTTACTTCATTTTTTACTCATCTTTGCTATTATAAAGAAGGCAATGATAGCTATTACCACAAGTAAACCCACATCTTCATGTATGCATTCTGAGATGACCGGATCTTACTTTTTCTACGTCTCTTTGTCTTTTGTTCTCATTCATTCATTTGACAAGAGAGTTGTCTTGCATAACAGGTTTGCTTTTTTTTTTTTAACTATGTACGTCATGTTATTGTGTATCAGAAAAGTTCTGAAAAGAATGAAATATTGTCTGTGTATACATTATGGGGTTACATATATCTTTAAGTCTTTAGAAGGTCTTATGTCAGACAAATTACGAAGTATTTCTTAGTGTTGTTAAAACAGGCGAGTCTTGGGCACTGTCTGAGGGATTCTACTACTCTGACATTGTTCCCCCTTCACACCTTCTGTATTATTCTAGGTGCTGACATAGTCCTTTATAAAATGATCCACAGAGATTACAGAAGTTACGATTAAGGGTAAATAAAATGCCCACATTTTCATAAAGTCACCATGAAAGGAATGTCACACGGTCACATTCTTTGCTGTTGAATAACATTGCACAACCTACCATGCTCGCCCCAGATAATTCTAGCTTCCCTTTATCTCTTTATCTCTGTTTCTTGATGAGTGGGATTTCAAAGTGAGAATCTTTGTGGTTGTTTGTGCTGTACTGTGGTTTTTCACCTTTTTTTTCTTTTCTTTAGGTGAGACTGGTAAAATGATGAACTGACAAAAAATATATTGTGGTGATTAAGTACTTAAATTATACTGCTGAAATTTAATTTTTTTAAATACAAGGTTTATTTTCTTTGTAGCTGCCTGAACCTAAACACAATTTAAAAAGATAGTTCACTCAAAAAGGAACATTACGTCATTATTTATTCACTCTCATGTTGTTAAAAACCTGAGAATGAAACCAATGAAAGTCAACTAACTTTCAAAATATATTCTTTTGTGTTCCACAGAAAAAAGAAAGTCATACAGGTTTGGAATGTAATGGGGTGAGTAAATGACAGATTTTGGGGTGGACTATATATTGTAAGTGTTTCAATATCAGTATTACAGGTGCTAATAAGACATGCCAAGAATGTGTAGTTAGAATAGTTAGACAGGAGTTCATCTGTCACGAATTCGGTCCATGGACTTCCGTTTATTCACCACCAGAGGTCACCCTTTCCATTACATTGACTCTCGCACAACACAAACTGTTGCATAGCACCCCGGACTACATATCCCATCATTCTTTGCATGATTTGCACACTGCACTGATTGCACTCATTGCACACAGCTGTTTCTAATCACCTCACTCACTATATAACACCCACTCCTACCACCTTTCCCTGCTGAGTATTGTTTAGCCCGTACCCCATTCCGAGTCTCTGTGTTTTCCTTGTTTTGCCTTGCCTTGCCTGTTTCCGCGGTTTCTGATCTTTGCCTGTTTTCCTGGATTTTTCCCTCTCGTCTCGCCCCTGTGATTCTGTCTGCCGATCGGTGACCTATGCTAGCCCTGGGACTATTCTTGTGTTTTGCCCGCCATATACCTGTTTGCCATTGTTTGACCCTGCCTGTTTACCACGTCTCTTTAATAAAGCTTGCAGATGGATCCACACGTCTCACGTCTCGTCAGCCCCGTTACATCATCCACTAGCAGCATTTTACAGCAAATTCAAGCCTGCCATCTGCTGGCCAAATACAAGCTTATCTTAAAAAATAAAAAATTAAAAAAGGCCAAGAGTAGGTCATATGAGGACAGAGAGTAACTGGGGCACGCTGACCCATCTCTGCGATTTTGCCATCCCATGAACTGTTGCTTTCTGATTCCCAGTTTTTCTCCTTCTTGCTTGACAGTGTCCCAATTAACCAGTAGGCCTACTGCATAAAGTACCCAACCTTGCTCAAGTTATTAAAAAAAAAAAAAAGTTAAATTAGTTTATGAGAAATAATACTTAAGGAACAGTAACTGATATTAAATGTACCGAAGTATCAAAAGTACAAGTAGTGAATGGTATAAATAATAACACAGCTGATTACAGCCATGGCATGGTGATATGATATGGTGACAAGCTGTCACTGGGGCAGTACCCTTTTAAAAAGCATGAACATGTACCAATTAGGTAGCCTATTAATATGTACAATTTAGGTAACTTTAAGGCACTAATATGCACCCTTTAGGAGTAAATAAGGTAGAAAATTTTACCTTTTGAAAAGGTGCCATCCCAGTGACAGCTTTTGTACCTTTTTGTCTGAGAGTGTAGAATATTTGCTCAGAATATTTGCAATGACACATTTTCTTCAGAAAAGTCTAATCTAAAAAGATTGTTTTATTGTGAATGTTCTTTCGTTGCTTAGCAGCAATAATAGTTGATTTATTTTCTACATTTGTTCTTTCAGTCTTCCAAGTCCACATGCACTGTGCCAGTTTCGCCAGTAGATAGCCCTTTTGCTCCCTGAATCTCTTTTAATCGAGCCATGTACGTGTGTATGTTGGTGGGTGGAGCAAAACATGAGATTTGATCAAAAAGAAAATTGAGATGCAGTTTATACAAGTATTATGATCTTCAAGTTTGATATTCTTCTTATTGCTTTTATTAAGTGACAATAATATCAGTGCACTAATTTGAATTTACTGAGATTAGAAGAGTCGCGAGGCAAACCAATAGTATTGAGATTTTGAATCCAGGAAGGAGGAAGAAAGCCAGATGGGGAAATTTGATTTGAACTTTCAGTAAATCTCTGCATTGGAATTACTATAATAAATTTGAATTCAACACATACATCCAGAATGAGAAAGAGAAAAGCTCCAAATCTATTGGACGATGGCATGCCATAGATGAAAGCAAATTGAAAACACATTTTTCATGCTGTTATCCAGGATCCACTGATTATTTAAATTCTTCTCTCAACAAGGCAACATGACTGCACATGGATTTCTTTGCTACAGTTTCACTATATTTAGACTGGATAGCCTTTTTCTGTGAAAATGTAGTCTATTGCATAATACAATTTTTTTAAATCATAAAAATCATCCATTCAGACCACCAAGTAAGGTGGCACCATGCCTTTTTAAATGCTTACTTGCTTATATTTGTTTATCAAGAGATTATAGATCAATTAAAATATCACTCGATTTCCAACAAGTACAATTTGGGTTGTTTTTAACCCAAGGGCTGGGTAAGGACAGAATTCATGTTGGGTTCCTTTTACCCAGCATAATGGGTTGTTTTACCCGATTTATTTTTACTATAATACTTTAGCCTACTGATTTTTCCTTCATATATGAAATAATGTTTACAGATTAACTTAAATCCTCTAAACTTTTGTAAAATACTCCACACAACCGTTGGTTTGCATGATAACTACCCTAACACTGACTGGGTGTTAACCTCTACCACCCACCACACCCAAGGATTCATTTCTTAGACTTGATTGTAATGTCAGGAATGACAACAATTTCACTTGATTATCTTGATTATCAAAGAGGGCACTTAAAATAAAATGACTGTACTTATGCTATAGCCCACTTAGGCCTACTTATTTACTATCATAATTATAAATAACTAAATAATATATTGGTTTTCCTATTATAACCAAACACATTTAAAGAAGATTCTTTCAAAACATTAATTGTCTCTTCGATAAAGTAGCTATAATTATAATATAAATATAACTATAATTTTTTTTTTAAGCTCACTGATTTTTTTCCCCCAGAAATGTTCAATAGCCCTAATTATTTTATCGAAATAAAAACAAATAGACAATAGGTCGCAACTGAAAACACATTACGTGCATACAAGCACACCAGAACATTTTACTGATCAGTCATCAAAAATACACATTAAACTACTGTGCATCAAAGCGTCAAAAGTTCCACTGATTTGATTTTCACGTTTTTTTTTACTTTTGTGAATTTTTTTTTCTAACCAAACAAAACACGTATTATCCTTTTATGCCAAATATTGTTAAGAAGATTAAAATATATTGTCCGTCTGAATTATTATTATTATAGGTCTAATATACCTATAGTCTTTCCTTTTCATTCTTTCTTTCTTTTTTATTTTTATTTATTTTTTTATTTTTTTTTTGCCCCGAAACCCGTTGAATTTAGAATGAATCCCGCGATACTTATCGGCTGGAAAAGAATTATGTAAGGGAACATACCAGGTTTATTCTAATATGCGCGTCTCGGCAATACGAGTTCAGTTGTTGAGTATTGGGCTAGTGACGCTCCATCACTGAGGGGAAACGTTCTCAAAAACGTCAAGGAGACGAAGTGAAACGAAGGGTCGGTATGCGAAGAATGCATAGGTAAACCTAGTGTAATTTGTGTTGGTCCCTTTTGACATCTAACATGTGTGGTAATTGTGATCAGTTGACGTAGTATTCATAAAAAGATCACGTGCTCCATGATGATCGGTCTAAGGTTACACAAATTATTAAACTCATGGGAAACTCTATGTTTGATGTTGTTTTTTGTTTAAACTGCTAATGCGATTCTATACTCTAGTGTTTCCACAAACATCCATGCAGTAATATCTACAAATTAAGAGATTTATTCTTAAAACAAATTGTGTATACAATTATGTGCCCTCAAAAAAAAATCGTTCTATCCTACGAATTTTGGATACATTTAAAATAATGTCTGAAATTAAAACAGTAACGATCATGGCATGTGAATGACATACGCCTATAAATTAAAATGTGCAGTTATATGGCTTTATCAAGTCACTTAACAGTTTCTATAAATAAGCTATAATAAATTGTTGCGCACGACAGACACTTTAGGCACAATACAAAAGATGTACGAAAAACATCGTCACCGTGTCTGCCAAAAAACAAAACAAAAAAAACATTCCATATACAGTACTTATCTGTGCATATCAATGAAGTAACAAACCACAAGTCAGGACGTCACTAAGTGGTATTTAAGAGGCAGCTCCACAGGTGATTCAAGAGAAGTGGAAGAACTGGAGCATAGAATAACTATCGGACCACTGAGACAACAGCGGATTACCGATCAAGGTGTTGAGTAAAATATATCTGCTCAAGGGTTGGTAAGGGCATTTTATTTCACTAAATATATTTGTCTTAATTATATTTACATTATAAAGTAGTTTAATTGCTGGAAATAATTTTTAATTGCATACATAATGTAGTAATATTTATATTAATATTTTTAATATTTAGTCATTTTTGAAGTAGTCTGTGTTCTGTTACTGTTAAATGTATTTTTTAATGAAATGTATGTAGTCAGAATATTTAAGCAGCCACAGGAAATTGCAGTTACAGTATTATATTCTGTTCACAAAGTAATTATTAATATAATTATTTAAAATAATTCTATTCTTAGAATAGTAAGTAATTATTTATCTTGATATCTACAGCACATTCCTATCAAGGGCATCAAATTGTTTACTGAACCATTTGTGTTAAATATTAAGAAGTCATAATAAAAGAATATTTTAGTTTGGATATTGATAAACAGTTGGAATTTGATTTCAATTTTGTGAAATCTATAGTGATAATTAGAACTGGACTAATCATGATGTAAAAATGTATAGTGTCCAGTTTTTTCAGATGGAGTAGATAATGGAGTAGATAACTTAAATCAAGAATGCAAACTTTTGCATGGTGCTTTGCTGAAACCATGAAAATAATGTTTGTAGATTAGGTTTATTCTATTCTCTTCTACATCTGATGCTGGTGTCTCTGGTAACATCTGATGGATGCAGCGATTGTTTATATATATATATATATATATATATATATGCATGTATATGTGTGTGTATTTAAACTTTGTGTATATTGCTTGCTTTGCAGACTCTTATTATCACCACCGGACTCTTTCCAGAATGGAGGGAAAAGCTTTTATTATAATGTGCATTTTTATTGGTAGGTGAATCAAATGTAAAAACAAATCGTACAAGAACAACTACAACAATAATTCCACAATTCAATTAGACATAAAATATACATGTTCAAAATATGTAACTTTAACAGTACATCAACTTTTTGTCTTCTCTAGGAACAGTCCACTCGCAAAGTTCAACAACTCAGTCCACAACAGATTCAGCAACCGACACCTCTGCAACACCCACAGCTACAACGACGTCTTCAACAACCATTACAACTCTTGCTGAATAATGTTTGTAGATTAGGTTTATTCTATTCTCTTCTACATCTGATGCTGGTGTCTCTGGTAACATCTGATGGATGCAGCGATTGTTTATATATATGAATGTTTTGTTTTCTTTATTACTACATTATTATATAATATTGGTCAAAAGTTTGGAATAATTCAGTTTGTTCATCTTCTTGAAAGAAGTCTTCTATGCTTTTTTTTTTAAGCCTTTTGAAGGATCATGTGACACTGAAGACTGGAGTAATGTCTGCTAAAAATTCAGCTTTGCATTACAAAATTACTGTTTCACTGTATTTTTTTTTACATTAATCAAATACATGCAGCCTTGGTGATAGGTGGCTTCTATCAACAACATTATAAAACTTTTAACTGGTATATATATATATATATATATATATATATATATATATATCTGAATCCTCCACAACAGCAGTGCCCTCAACAACTACAACTCTTGCTGAATCATCCACCACTACTGCAGGAGTTACCACAACAGCACCACAAACTAGTGTTACAACAGCTGAATCCTCCAAAACAGCTACGACAACAGCAGTGCCCTCAGCAACTATTACAACTCTTGCTGAATCATCCACCACTACTGCAGGAGTTACCACAACAGCACCACAGACGAGTGTTACAACAACTGAATCCTCCACAACAGCTACAGCAACAGCAGTGCCCTCAACAACCACTACAACTGTTACTGAATCATCCACCACTACTGCAGGAGTAACCACAACAGCACCACAAACTAGTGTTACAACAACTGACTCTTCCACAACAGCTACAACAACAGCGGTGTCCTCATCATCCACCACTACTGCAGGAGTAACCACAACAGCACCACAAACTAGTGTTACAACAACTGAATCTTCCACAACAGGTACAACAACAGCAGTGCCCTCAACAACCACTACAACTCTTACTGAAACATCCACCACTACTGCAGGAGTAACCACAACAGCTCCACAAACTACTGCTACAACAGCTGAATCCTCCACAACAGCTATAACAACAGCAGTTCCCTCAACAACTATTACAACTCTTGCTGAATCATCCACCACTACTCCAGGAGTTACCACAACAGCACCACACACTAGTGTTACAACAACTGAATCCTCCACAACAGCAGTTCCCTCAACAACCACTACAACTCTTGCTGAATCATCCACCACTACTGCAGGAGTTACCACAACAGCACCACAAACTAGTGTTACAACAGCTGAATCTTCCACAACAGCTACAACAACAGCAGTGCCCTCAACAACCACTACAACTCTTGCTGAATCATCCACCACTACTGCAGGAGTTACCACAACAGCACCACAAACTAGTGTTACAACAACTGAATCCTCCACAACAGCAGTGCCCTCAACAACCACTACTCTTGCTGAATCATCCACCACTACTGCAGGAATAATCATAACAGCAGCACAGACGAGTGTTACAACAACTGAATCCTCCACAACAGCTACAACAACAGCAGTGCCCTCAACAACCACTACATCTCTTGCTGAAACATCCACCACTACGGCAGGAGTTACCACAACAGCACCACAAACAAGTCTTACAACAGTAGCACCTTCAACAACCACTACAACTCTTACCGAATCATCCACCACTACTGTGGGAATAACCACAACAGGACCACAAACTACTGTTACAACAGCTGAATCCACCACAACAGCAGTTCCCTCAACAACCACTACAACTTTTACTGAATCATCCACCACTACTGCAGGAGCTACCACAACAGCACAACAAACTACTGTTACAACAACTGAATCCTCCACAACAGCTCACAACAGCACCACAAACTAGTGTAACAACAGCTGAATCTTCTACAACGGTTACAACAACAGCAGCGCTCTCAACAACCACTACAACTGTTACTGAATCATCCACCGCTACTGCAGGAGTTACCACAACAGCACCACAAACTAGTGTTACAACAGCTGAATCTTCCACAACAGCCACAACAACAGCAGTGCCCTCAACAACCACTACAACTCTTGCTGAATCATCCACCACTACTGCAGAAGTTACCACAACAGCACCACAAACTACAGTTACAACAACTGAATCCTCCACAACAGCTACAACAACAGCAGCAACATCTGAACCATCTGCAATTTCAACACCAACAGGTTCTTCCTCTGTCACAGCAACTCTTACTGGGTCATCCACCACTAGTGCACCAGTCACTGCAACAGCATCTCAAACCACACCGTCCTCTTCGACTACTCCCTCTTCAACTGCTTTTCATACCACAACTGTTAGCACAGCTGAAACATCCACAACATCAGCAACTTCAACACCAACAGGTTCATCCACAGTCCCAAAATCTATTACTGGTACATCCACCAGTAGTGCAGCAATAACCACAACAGTGGCACAATCTACAGTTTCTACAGAGTCTACAGCTTCTACAGCATCTAACGCTTCTACAGAACCTACAGTGTCTACAGCTGCTATAGCTTCTACTGTATCCACAGCTTTTACAGCATCTACAGTCTCTACAGGGTCTACAGCGTTGAATGCTTCTACTGTATCTACTGTCTCTACAGTGTCTAACACTTCTACTGCATCTACAGCTTCTACAGCATCTACAACCTCTACAGCATCTAACGCTTCTACAGCATCTACAGCTTCTACAACATCTACAGTCTCTACAGAGTCTGCAGCGTCTAACGCTTCTACAGCCTCTACAGCATCTACAGCATCTTCAGTCTCTACAGAGTCTGCAGCGTCTAACGCTTCTACAGCCTCTACAGCATCTTCAGTCTCTACAGAGTCTGCAGCGTCTAACGCTTCTACAGCCTCTACAACATCTACAACTTCCACAGCAACTACTGCAAAAATAGTACCTGAAGTGCTAACAGAACTGGAGTTTCGCTCTTTTGAGACATTTACAGATGCACTCAGCGATATCAAGAGTGAGGAGTTTAAGAATAGGTCTAAACTTGTCAGGGATGAGGTGAGTTAAAATCCATTTATTGTATTTACTAGAACCGATTGATTTTTAAGTATTTAATTAACAGTAGAGACAACATAAATGTGACAAACAATTAAACTAGATTCCAATGATGTCTCTGATGTCTGAAATTATTTGTTATTTATTCCAGCTTGAGCCTGTCTACAAAATCAAGTATACTAACTTCCTCAGAGTGATTGTCCTAGGATTCAGGTAAATACAACATATTGCAATATTGAATATTTTATGAATGCTGTCTCTCTCTCTATCTCTCTCTCTCTGTGTGTGTGTGTGTGTGTGTGTGTACTGGTATATATGGCTTATGAGGACACAAATGTGTATAATGACATGGGTACTACAACCTAAACATGGTTTATGAGGACACTTCCTGTGTCCCCGTAAAACAAAAGGCTTAAAAAACATACAAAACGGTGTTTTATGAAATTCAAAAATTACCAGTAGTTTTCGGTAAGGGGCAGGTTTAGGTGTAGGGTGATAGAAAATACATTTTTGTACAGTATAAAAACCATTATGCCTATGGAATGTCCCCAAAACATGGAAACGTGTTTGTGTGTGTGTGTGTGTGTGTGTGTGTGTACCTACTTAACCATATTTTGAAGGGGCCTCTGAATTCTTAATCCGGGCCTGGTTAGAGTTAGTTTATAGTATTTAAAACTAGCTGTATTAAGCTGTCCTCATTTAGATAGCTAAGTAAACATGTGTGTGAGTGGACATGTGTGTGTGTGTGTGTGTGTGTGTGTGTGTGTGTGTGTGTGTGTGTGTGTGTGAAAGAGAGAGAGAAAAAAAGAAACTTGTAATAAACTGAGGTAGCATAAAAAAGGTAACATTTATTAATTTCAACATTTATATATTTTAGACCAGGGTCAATCATCACCTCAACACGACTAGCTTTCAGCTTCAACCAAACTATCCCATCCGTTCAAGAGATTTCAAACACCCTCTTGACAGCAGTGGGAACAGGAGATGTCAATTTACTGAAGATAATCCCTCAATCAATTTCAGTCAATGGTTCAGGTAAGCTGTACTACACACATTAGATTTATAGTCTTCTATACCTGTAACTTGTCTATGGGTCTATAGGGATGTCCAGCTAATTTGCTTATGTTTTTTTTTACTGCTTCAGCTGCAACAGTCGCTCCCACAGCAACTACAGCAAGTACAACAACTACAGCAACCACAGCAACCACAGCAACTACAGCTTCAGGCGGATTAAAGATTGAATCCAGTCTGTTCCAAGCAACATGCCTCATTATTATGTCTAAAATATTAAACTTTTTCCTATAGATCCCTTAAACATATATCAACCAAACATGAGAGTTCAACAAGACACACTGTAACAAATTAATTCAACACAAAATGTATTTATTATTATAATTAAATTGTATATAGTATTTCCCACTCTCACATACTAGTATAGAGCAATATAAAGATACGTTTGATAATGCATTGTTCCTGAAGAACTTAACAGTAGATATCTGTTTAACAGCAGGCTGTTTTCTGGGAGGGAGAAGTAAATATTTTTCCGCATGCATTTCCTTTAATTGTAAACATTGTAAATGTTGTTTAACTGTTTTGAGGTTAAATACTGGTTATACTACTTCTTTTTGTTTGTCTAATAAGTTCTAACATTGTAATATGTCATATTTTAATGAAATAAAAATATGTATTAAATTATGTAGTCCAAAATATTTTGCTTTCATGAAAAGACACTACAATAAATACTATATATGCTAAACCTGGCTATTTATGGTACAGTGTTCACTGCTCAAATGCAAGCTTTGGTCAACGTTTCTTTACTAAAAGTAGGCTTGCAATACCATGTCTGGGATGACACATAAGTCACTATCATGGCCACCTTTGATGATTTTTGGCAGCTAATCAAGTAACAGAAGGAACTGCCTAACAAGTTGTATGGGTGTAAGAGTGGGACATAGACAAACAGATACTACTAGAGACCTGCGCAGGACGGATTTTTCAGTCCAGCTCCAGCAGGATTCTGTCCCGCACCCGCAAAACCACTGTTATTTTTAATAGAAAAGCAAGCATAAGCTGCTGTGTGCATGGTTTGGCATGGCAGAATGCGAGCAAAGAGCGCTCCCTTTATAATCACTAAAAAGTTGACATCTCAGTTCATCGCGATCTCACAAAGCTCTGTTATAACACTATTAATATAAGCACAATGAATCTTTCATAATGTCTACACTGCGTTATAAGAGGATTCGTGAGCACGCAAATTTCAGCGATACACAAGAACTCCAGGCATTTTGAGCGGTGAATGGATTCTAACTTAAACACCTCTGATTGCAACAAATCGCAGACTTCGTTTTTTTAATACACTGCATGTTTTGCTAACTGTTTTCTCCTCATTCGTGAGCACGCAAATTTCAGCGATACACAAGAACTCCAGGCATTTTGAGCGGTGAATGGATTCTAACTTAAACACCTCTGATTGCAATAAATCGCAGACTTGGTTTTTTTAATACACTGCATGTTTTGCTAACTGTTTTCTCCTCCACTGATCTGTACTTACAAATGCGCTTCCGGAGTTTTCATTTACGCTTCTGAATTTTTCGTTCGCCATTCTGGCACAAATCTATCACGGGGGCGGGGCTAGCAGCGGTGTATTTTCATTGGCTACTGAGTTTTTTTGATTGACAGTTTCTTGATCTGGAATTGAGGGCGTCAGTGTTGCGCCTGCACCTGTGGGGATGTGAGCCTCTGTTAGCGTATTCCTGTCATTTTAGTGATACAAAGTTAGGAGTTTTGTTCTTGATCCGTAATTATGTCCCCACTGGATGCAACAAATGCCTCGTTTGTAATGGGTTTTATTGGTTTTGTCTGGTTGTCCCGGGAGACGGCATCACAGTATGGTAAGGGGCGGAACATTTCCATCACACGCTTGTTATAACACTATTAATATAAGCACAATGAATCTTTCATAATGTCTACACTGCGTTATAAGAGGATTCGTGAGCACGCAAATTTCAGCGATACACAAGAACTCCAGGCATTTTGAGCGGTGAATGGATTCTAACTTAAACACCTCTGATTGCAATAAATCGCAGACTTGGTTTTTTTAATACACTGCATGTTTTGCTAACTGTTTTCTCCTCCACTGATCTGTACTTACAAATGCGCTTCCGGAGTTTTCATTTACGCTTCTGAATTTTTCGTTCGCCATTCTGGCACAAATCTATCACGGGGGCGGGGCTAGCAGCGGTGTATTTTCATTGGCTACTGAGTTTTTTTGATTGACAGTTTCTTGATCTGGAATTGAGGGCGTCAGTGTTGCGCCTGCACCTGTGGGGATGTGAGCCTCTGTTAGCGTATTCCTGTCATTTTAGTGATACAAAGTTAGGAGTTTTGTTCTTGAATTTAATCTGTATCTGTTGCTATTACTCTGTCGACATAAGCTTTTAGGAGCGCAAGAGATCAAACTCAAGAGAAATTTAAGGTTTAATTAGATGTACTGTATATAATACTGAAAATATTGTATAATGTCCAATGTTTTCATAGAATATTTTTTTATTGCTGATGATTCTTTTGCATTGTTGGGTCTAATTAGGTTGTGCTGTTACAATTTAAAGATAATACTAGTACTCTAACCAGGTAATCAAGGTTGACAATCCTGGCCATAACACTCAGCATATGCACTTACACCATCACAAATAATGATCACTTAATTCTGAAGGATTCAAACAATATGAAAATTACAGTCGTGGCTTGTCAAATGGTACAGACCTCGAAGGTCATTTCATTACATATTCCACACAAAGAATGTTCTTGCTACTAATTGTTTTTATCATGCTGATAATTTTGGTTAGTTATTTTATTTAGTTAACATTATCAAAACATTTAAAATTGGAAATACATTTTTTTAGCAATCATCTACTCTTTCAAGTGTGAGTTTTATAAACCAGTTGAATGAATGTAATTGAAAATATGAATTCAAAATAAAATTGAATTCTTTATTGTCACAGCATATACACAAGTATCAAAGTGAAAGTCTTGGATGTGATCATATGACCCCTTTAACATTTAAATAAACGAGCATGTACTACAATTACGAGCCATTCTATAAGGTGACATTTCAGCACTTGACAAACGGATAGCGACTTAAAGCACAGCTACGTGTGATTGTGTTAAGTGCAGTTTTGGGAAACGCACGTGAAACAATAATGAATGATCATAAAATGACTCTTAAAGGGGTCATATGATGTTGCTAAAAAGAACATTTAGCATATACACAAGTATCAAAGTGAAAGTCTTGGATGCAATTATGTTGTGACAGGAAAGACCAGAATCCACAAAACACTAACTGCATAGTATACATGTAATGCACAGTATTCTCGTAATGTACATTATTATACAAAGACTGGGGAACTCTGTCAATGACTTGCTGACGTGCACGAAAACCAGCCATGTATTGTACCCGGAAATAACGTCTCTCTCTCTCTGTCTCTCTCTCTATATATATGTATAAAGTATATTATATATTATTATGTAAAGTATAATATGATATAATATAATATAATATAATATAATATAATATA